ATCTAGTTTCCTTACATTATACTCAGATAGATAGATAGATAGATAGATAGATAGATAGATAGATAGATAGATAGATAGATAGATAGATTGTCATCATTATCCCTCCTTTATTTGACTATATCCTGTATTATAACATTTCCCCCCTAATATCAAAACTTAACTGTATCTAACTTAATTCTTTTTTTTATTAACTTTTGTATATAATCCAAAAGGATTTCTAATCTTCCTTTCATAGGTACCATTCAATATTGATATCAAATTATTACTTATCATAACAATACACATTGTATACATTATTATCATTATCAATTATTTATTTAATTATATCTATTATTACTAAATTTCACTGTTTAACTAGTTTTAAGTTACAATTCTTTTTTTATTAACTTTTGTATATAATCCAAAAGGATTTCTAATCTCCCTTTCATGGGTACCATTCAATATTCATATCCAATTATTACTTATCATAACAATACACATTGTATACATTATTATCATTATCAGTTATTTATTTAATTATATCTATTATTACTAAATTTCACTAAGTTTAACTAGTTTTAAGTTATATTCTTCCATCTATCAACCTGTTACCGACCTTTATGAGGCTTGGAGAGTGGCCAAGGCCGATATCATTCATACTGGGCAAGAATGCAGGAATGAACAAATTGTCTCCTGCAAACTCCACTCCCCTGGCGCTCCTCTTTTATTCCCTCTGGGAGGGGCCATCCACCGTCCACCTGTGGCCTTACTCCCAAGTCAACCCTTGTTCTTTAGCTGTTCCCGTCGTCTGGCAACTCTGCGCATGCGCACATCAGGAACACGCTCCAGCTTTTCTTCTGCTGGTCTCCGACTCCAAAGGCAGCTCCATCTCTGCCTCCGACACAGAGCCCTCATCAGAGCTTTCCCCAGACTACAGGACTGGCCCCCAACCTCCTCGCTGTCCTAATCTGCTGGCAGCTCCATTGGCCATTGGTGGGCCACAACTGGTGGGTCACAACAGAGCTCGGGAGGGCCTCCCATAGCCCTCCCGAGCTCCGTTTTGTCTGGCAGAAGCACTGTGGGCTGATTCTAGGGCAGCCCTGTGAACCAGAATCTAAGCACACCGCGGGCTGGATGCGGGCTGTGGGACTTAAGTTTGACACCCCTGCTTTATGGGAAGAGAATGTTGGAGGATACCGATAGTCCTTCTCAGTGTTCCTAGTAATGCACCCATAGAAAGCCGAACTCTGGGGCAGGTAGATTCCTCAAAGAACAAATTTATTGGGTACATCATATTGGCACAACTGGTGAAAACCGGCTCTGAAAGTTCCTGCGGTTTTCACCTAATTTAAAAAAGAATCGTTCCCCATTTCCCCGCAGGTCTTCGGTCCCATTGTCCAATGATGATGCTAGCAGGTTGCTTGGTTACTCCACTCCTCTTCTCAGCCACCTGTTGGAATGACCTTGGTTCCCACAAGAAAACCTTTTGCTTTGACCACAAAGCCAAGCTAATCTCCATTTCCACCCTCCCTTTCTCCCCCTCCCTTTTGTGGCAACCGCGAAGCCTCAAAAGATGGCCTCAGTCAGGTTCGCTTCCGGGTTGACTGTCCTCAACTTACAACCACTTGGAGCCTCAGGACTTAACGACGGATCGCTTAGCAACCATTTAGAGTTACGATGGGGCTACCTTGGGGCTACTTGCGACCCAGAATTAAAATTTTCTGTTTCCCTCCCCCCCCCCCCCTCCTTCAGACCAGCGAATCCGCTTATACGACTGCACCTATGGAGCCTTCCGGAACTTCCGGAGTGTCAAAGCCCGAGACGTCGGCTGGAGCGTACTGGACGTAGCTTTCACCCCTGACAGGACACACTTCCTCTACTCCAGCTGGTCAGACTACAGTGAGTTTATATGGCGCTAGGGACGCGGTGGCTCAGTGGCTAAGACGCTGAGCTTGTTAATCAGAAAGGTCGGCAGTCCGAATCTCTAGTGTCGCGTAACGGAGTGAGCTCCCGTTCCTTGTCCCAGCTTCTTGCCAACCTAGCAGTTCGAAAGCACGTAAAATGCAGGTAGAAAAATAGGAACCACCTTTGGTGGGAAGGTCACAGCGTTCCCACCAAGCCGAGAGCCGAGGTGGCGCAGTGGTTAGAGTGCAGTACTGCAGGCCACTTCAGCTGACTGCTATCTGCAGTTCAGCGGTTCAAATCTCACCGGCTCAG